GGTTCACATCAATGGATTTGCACTTAGGATGTGTACTTTGCCCTCCAGGAAGTCTCCCAACCACGGAACAATGTTTAATTGCAGCTACAGCATAACTAGAATACATATATAAAAATATTGTACACTACTCAATTCTTTCATAAAGGAATTGATAATGTGTGTGCATGGTAAATAATTCTGTAAAAACAAAACAACTGTAACATTTGCTGTTTTCTTTTTAGCACAATATAGTTGAATGATTAGCCTAGAGAGCGAGTATCATGTATATATTAATATAACTGACTAATTTTATTTTTCACTTTAACTTTCATTCCTGGGCTTTCATAGTGATGCAACATCTAGGACACGGGCAGAAATCCAAGATACATTTCAAAAGAACTGGCATTTGTTCTAACCCTGTACTGTCTGTTGGACAAATGCAACCGAGTTCGTCCTTGAATTGGGGCACTGGGTGCTGCCCAGAACGTGCCACAGAAACAAAATTTTAGTAAATCAGCTGCAGAGGATCCCAGATCTGCCTGCCTGCCTGCCAGCGGTCAGGAGTTTATGCCAAACTGGGGAAACTAGAAAAAGATTCTCAATTATGAACAAGAGGGGCTTACAATAAACAATAGTGGAAAAAAAGTCCAAGAGGAAACATAAAAGGGCCTGAGACCAACCTTGGCTTAGCTGGGAGGCTGCAGAAGAGGAGAAGAAGGGCTAAAACCCAAGCCAGGAGCACAATCTGCACTAGAGCCTCCTTCCCTCGCCTGCTTCCCTGCCCCTGCACAGAGTCAGACCCTGCTTTTTTTAAGGACCACCTCCTATTGCAAGGGCTTGACGTAGCATTAAATGTGCGGTTTATACCAAGGCTTTCCAAGCAATGACTGACACAGAATCCAAGATTTCTTCTCCACTTACCTCCCACTGGTATTTGCATACTAGCAAATAAAGTGAGAATATTCAATATCTTTGCATTTTTCAGACTGCACAAAATAATAAATCAGAGACATTTATGCACAATAAGTTGTGAGAACCTGTAGCCAAGTTAGCAGCAATGTCCTATGATGGTTAGAACTTTTCTTTATTTCTTTGTCTACTATAGATATTAACATCCTGTGTCCCAGCTGGGGATAAATGCAGAATGGCTACGCACTCAAAGGACATTGAATATTGGGTAACTGGGTAGAAGGGTATAAATGCAGTACCTGCACATATACCACAGAATTATCACTGACTGTGAGATCCACAGGGTTTAGTGTTTTACAAATCTCCTGCTCCACTAAACCACAGCAACGATGAAGTCACCAAAGAAAGTTTCTGAAGCAGTTTCAGATTTTTATTAGCTTGGTTGGATACTCACCAGCTTACACCAACTTCTTGGATAAATGCACCTTTCATTTTGCCACAGGGCAGGCTCTTCTACTCCCTGCAGGAGTAAAGTGATGAGGAGTGATGAGGAGTGATGAGGAGTGATGAGGAGTGATATTTATTTACTTGTGCTAATAGTTAGTGCTAAATTATACGATGCACTGCAAAGATAAGATGTTGCTGGCACTTCCAACTTGCCCAAGCTCTCTGTGTCTCACACATTAACCAAAACATTGGATCTGACCAACTGGAGCGCAGGCAGCTGCAAAAAGGGACCAAATCCGTCTCCCTCGAGCCGTGCTGTGCTTGCAATACCATTATTCCTACATCTGCCTGCCTGTGTGTGACTGCAAGTGCAAAGCGTTATTTAAACCTTGCTAAACGCCCACTGGAAGAAGACAGAGCGACTATCAACGTCCCATGCTTGTTTCTCTTTTCTTCTTCCACTTTTCTTCCCCATATTTCGTTCCAGGTGGTGGCACGATGTTCAGTGTGAAGCCATGCCTAAGAAACACCTCATGCAGTGCAACAAATAACCTCTCTTACTCCAAAACGATAACCAAGAATTACACTCCATATCTATATTAGATGAATCTCCTTCATAAGCCAGAAAAATAAATTCAATAGTCTTGTTTATCAAAATCACATATCTATTGACAATTAGAGAAATTGCATGCTCTTTTGACTTGAACGATCTTATTTGTGACCTTGGCCTGAGCTGAAATCTAAACTTTAGAAAAGTCTTTCCATATTTCTGTTGTGTTTAGTTGTATTGCTCTCACAGAGCAATCTGTAGTAGTTATATCCACTGTACCTGCAAAACACCCATGGGTTTATAAGGATTTGCTATTAGAGTTTACTGTTCTGCACTTTTGTCTTCCAGAAAAGACAAACTGTTACGAAAAGCAAATGTCATTCTGCTCTTCTCTGAGAAAAAAATACAAATTATTGGAACACCCCCAATTGGACAGATTGATTCACCTGTCTGGCTCTCTAAAGTTGGACCAGCTCTTTAAAAAACAAGGGGTAAAGAAGCATCACACACAATTTTAAACCTGCTGCAAAGTACTGATCATCACCGCTCTGATCACTTTAGTCATTTGTTGTTGTTTTTTCATCTTGGTAACTTGTAGCAATTGGAGAAGATAAAGCAGAAAAAAACATCATCCATTTTTACATCAATGGTTAAGGAAATACAACCTTTCTACAACAACCTAATAACTCAGTGTTCTCATGAAATAAGAATTCTGAAATTCACTAAAAAAACGGAGATTATCTGGCATTTAAAATTATTTGGATTGTATTAATTGCATGAAAACAATGTCAATCACAGGAGGAAATGCAGACAACTGCTGGCTCTTCTTATTTTTTCTAGCATTTTGTAGTGTCATTAGATTATAAAGTTGTTAAACTGTACCAGTTTAACCCCAGAAGATGTTACAGGATTCCCTCAGTGATATAGCTGAGTCTACCCTGCGTGATGAATCCTGCTGGCCTTTTCCCTCCACATTCTAGAAGAAAACCTGATTTCCAGCCAACCTGAGGCACTCGGGAGGAAGACGAGCTGTCCTGAGGACCTGCTGAAGTCTGGCACTGCTTTCTCAGCTCCAATCAGAGGACTGGAAAGTCCAAGTCTTAGGGGCCACTATCTTTCTGTGCTTACAGGTGCAGTCATCCAACTGAGCCAGGTGCAGGAAACCCCAATCCCCCTTACTGCTCCCCAGGAATTATGCAGCACCTGGTCTAGTCAACAAAATCCATGGAAAAGCTCCAGGGCCTTGCCCCCAAAAGGGCAGACAGATCATGCTGCTGTCTCTCTCAGCACTTTGGGAAGCTGATGCAAGAGGTTCAGTGGACTTTGGGCTATACTTCTGCCCCCAAAGTTGCAAGAAATCAAACTGGACAAATGGCCAAACTGCACCTCCAGAGGACTCCAGTCACAACTCAAATTAAATTATAGAGACTGTTAATTCAGAGCAATTGCAAAGACCCTGCGCTATAACCTATAGCTGTTCAATTAATGCATTAAGAGATATTTTTTATTATTGGCAACAAGAACACTGCCAGTTTCTTCAGGGTCCAAGCAAAATAGTTGTGGGTGGCTTGGGTCCAAGCAAAATCAGTTGCTCTGGTTTGAAGACATCAAGAGAAATCTTCAGGGCTGGGGAGCCAGTTTCAGAAAAATATGAGGGCCTGTGGAAAGGAAAACTGCTAAAGGAGAAAAATGATTCCTGAAGCAGCCAAGCAAAGTACGTTGCTGTTTTCCTTAGTTGTGGGTTTTGCTGATCCTTCATCTCAGATTTTGTTCCAGAAGGGAGTTTTAACTCTACTACCTTTTTTGCTCAATAGTGCAGAAGATACTCATTAATATGTTTGCAAATAAAATGTAGCAATTCTCTTGTTCAAAAGCATTCTGGTAACATATTAATGAACTTTGAAATATTACAGGTATTTGTGCAACTCATTGTTTCAATGTAAATTTACCTAAGCAGTCTTCATTACTCTTGTAATCAACTATCCAATCTGATGACAGGCAATTTATTGTATGGACAATAATACACAAAAGCAATACCTGTGCTAGCTGATAAATGATGAACCAGAGCGAACAGCTGTAAACTGAGGCTTGCTCACTCACTGTCGGGCTGAACTTGAAAGGATGCTATTTACAGGGAATGTTCTCACAAATAAACACAAGATCTTCTTTAACCAGAACAGGATGGAGAGTAGCGAACAATCTCTGCTCCCGAATCCAGTTTTATTTCTCCTGCCAGAGGAATGGGGCTCACAGGCTGCTCCCAGCTCGGGAGAGGGATCACCTGGGGAACTTGGAAGGGGCACTGATGTGAGACACAGCCACTGGAATGGGAATCCTTGAGTGGGGCTCCGAAGGGGCACTGGTGTGAGATAGGGCTGCTGGTGTCCTCGGAAGCAACCCAAGCAGAGCCCTGAGATGGAGGCTGCCCTAGGGACCCCATGCGTTTCACTGGTTAGCCAGGGGGAAATAGAAGGAAGATTAAGTTGGAGATGTAATACTAAAAGGAAATAATTAATAATTGGTTAAAAGTTGATTCACTACAATATTGCCCTTGGCCGTCCTGTAGGTTTATGGAGGATACCAGTTTGTTCCAGAGTGCCTGGGATGTTGCAGTGGAGCAGAAAGGCTCCAAACAGAATTTCTGCCAGCTGTTCCTCTGTTTGCTCCCATTATGTCCTCCCAATTTTCCCTGAAGGGAAGATCTGGCCATCACAGAGCACTTTGGACACAGACAGATGGGTGTTAGGCCATCACAGGGCACTTTGGACACCGACAGCCACTTCCCTCATGCCCTTCGTCGCGTCCCTTCCGTGTACACGGGATTGACGCGGGGTTACCACGTTAGGGAAACACCAAGAGCCCTCATGGATGTGCACTGCGAGAGGGGCGGCGGGGTGACCCCGCGCCGGCGGTTCGCCCCAGTCCCTGCCGCTGCCGCGCTCGGTGGTGCCGGCTCCGCGCACCGCGCACCGCCCCCGGGCGGCACCGACACGGCGCCCGGCCCGGCCGGCCGCGACGGAGGCGGGGCGGCCCCAGCCCCAGCCCCAGCGGCGGCCGCGGGCGGGCAGCGCTGCGGAAGGGGGAAGGAGCGGGGCGGCAGCGGCGGCAGCGGCGACATGGCGGCGCGCAGCTCGGCGGGGGACGCGGCGCTGGGCCGCGCGGCCGCGCAGTGGCTGCTCTGGGACAAGGTGAGGCCGCAGCCCCGCGGACCCGCCGCGCCCGCGCCCGTTGGGGCCGTTGCGGGCGTTGGCCTGCGGGCGTTGTGGGCCTGGGTCGCTGCGCGCGGGTAGCGGCCCCCGCGCTGACTCGGGAGCGCGGCCCGGGAGGCGCGTGGGGATCGTCGCGGGTTCTTGTCCCGGGTGCCCTGCGTGCGGGCGGAGCGGCGCTGGGTCGCTCCCAGCCCCCCTGCTGCGCTCGGACTCATACATTTAACGTATGCACCCCGCGGAGCGCTGCGAACCTCTGGTCCCGCCGTGCCTTCCTTGCGGAGAAAAACGCGTTCCCAGAAAGCCCCGTGGGCGAACGTCCCGTTTTAAGACCAGCCGGTTTCAGTATTGCCCTCACTGGAGTGTGTGCCGAAGTAAAACCACCCTCCTATCCCTGTATCCCGCATTTGGGAAGGGCCCTTTTGCCGTAGGAGTGCTCAGGAAATGCGAGCGCTTCCCACTGCAGCTCCCACACCTTTGGGAAGGGCCTCCAGCCCCTGTGGGCCACCCCATGGGTTTTGGGTGCCAGTTTGGGTTTTACTGGTTACAGTGCGGTGCCAGAGCAGCTCCGCTCTCGGAAGGGGCTGCACGTTCCACTGAGCTGCAGCAGGCTTTTGTGCCAAGGTTTTCACAGAGCGTTTCGAGAAGACAAGGTCTGCTTTGGAAAGGCCCGCTACTTCCAAAGAATAACTTTCTTTTATTAATGTTAATTTTAATCCTGTTTAATCATTTTGTCTTCTAATTGATATTCCGGTTATGTTGTGGGAACCTCTTGAGATCTAAGGCATCATCCCTTTTATTTTTTTTTAGAGTTATCTCATTACTTAAAAATGCATCCTTGACTGCAGTAATATTTGTCACACAAAAATAATAATTTATTTCCATTTTTCAGGGAGCTTCTACAGTGTTTGCCTTGAGTAACCTCCTGAGCCCATATAACCCTTGTCCATTTACACTGATTAAAAAAAAATTGTTTTTTAATATGAAGCGATAAGTTAATATTTAATGGTGATAAGCTGCATGTTCCTTGCAAAATAAAAGTTGGCAAGAGCAAATAGTCATCGGTCATACTGGCTTTGCTGGAAAGAGTTGTGTAGAGGACAATTACTGTGCATGTTATCAACCTTTCAGTTTCTGTCACTGTCATGTGTATCATATTTTTCATTCAGTTATCAGACATAGATTTATAAGGTAACTTTTGCTTATATTGAAAATCAAACCCGCTTAGCCACTGGCTATTCCTCTAATACTTTGTGAGGACTTTTTTACTGATGAAAAATTAACAGTTCTGGAAACAATAATTCGACAACAACTCTTACACTGGTAACTGAAATTAAACTGGAAACTAGTATTACCAGATTTTTGGTGGGGGAGAGAAAGCAATATGGGATATATATATATATATTATATACACACTTTTTTTTCCCCCTGTTGTGCTTCCAGCTTATTCAGAGTTATGTGAACTTCCTGATTACTGTGTTACACTGTTTGCTTGTTGGCAACAAACACACTTTAGCTTTCTGAGTATTTTTGACGTACCTGTCATCGAGTGGCGAATGCGCAAGCCAATAATAGGGTAGGTGCCTACAAATTATGAATATAGGGTAACATTCAAAGAAAACATGTTTTGTTTGTAGGCAATCCAAAGCACGTGGTGCCAGTTAGATGGACAGAACACTTGGTCTTTCTGTGTGAGTTTGCTCCAGTGACTGCTGTTAGGCAGGTCCTTGAGCATTTACTGGAGCTGCAGGAAGTCTTTGTACCTGGGGTTACCTCCCTTTCTTTGCTGTGAGCAGGATTGTCTTGTTTGAGAGCTAAAGGCTGTAAGTTTTATGGGGTCATTCAGCTGACCAGAAATCAACGTTTAGGATCATTTGAAAATAATAATCTTCATACTCCAGTGTGAAGTGTGTGTAATTCCAACCTGATTAACCTATGGAGTGTGTTACTGCCTTGCCTGACACTGTTGCCTGGTGACTGAGCGAGCCATCTGTCCCTCTGGATCGGGAGTCACAGGGAATCATGCAGATGGAAAAACTTCAAGTCACGTATTATTAAAACCGTGATACGGGCACCAACAGGGCTATGTTAATTCGTAAGTATGAGAAGGGAGTTGTTAACAATTGTATTACATGATTAAATATTTTTATAACAAGTATTACTTGCAAATATACCCCAAACTGTTGTCATCTTTATCTTCTGACTAGGCAGGTTTTGCTTAGGCTTGCGTTAGTCACTTGGAATAAGTGTGTATGTATACATACTGAGTATGTATACTATATGTATATTATTTAGTATACATACTAAGTATGTATATTTTCAAGCTCTACTTACATTACTACAGAAGTAATAAATGCAACAATCTGCCTCGATTGCTTTCTGATGTATCTTCTGTAGCTCCTGCTTTCTGATCATTGGGTTTTTGTTGCTAATGGGGAAAAAAAAAAAGAATCCGACTCTTTGAAATCGTATCGCTTCCCGAACTGTTGTCCTGCTGCTGTCAAGGCAGCACATTCGCTTAAAGTGATAGAAATCAGAAATGAGTAAGAGTTGAAATTGCCCTGACTTGTGAAAGACATGAAGTTGTAGCACAAGTTCTAGCACTCTGGAAGTGTTAGGATAGGTTTTTAACCTGAAGTTATCTACTAGCAAAAGTGGGGAAGAATGTCAGTTCTATTAAAAAGCTTAAAGATATTTTTTTAGAACAGGAGCTTTTTCTTTTTTTAAAAATAATCTGAATTTTGTGTCTGCAGAATCCCAAAACTTCTGCAATAGTGAAGCAACTGGTTGCTGAAGGAAATGCAGGAGAGCTGCAGAAGTATTTTGGCGCGCGGATGGAGTTCGGCACAGCAGGGCTCAGAGCTGCCATGGGAGCTGGCATTTCCCACATGAATGACTTGACCATTATCCAGACGACCCAGGTATGGTGTTAACCCTTTTGTCTCACTTCAGTGGTCCTTTCTTTGTTTGGAAAGGACTAATTTATGACAAGTAAATGGATATTCAGTGGAAGATTAAATGTTTAGCCATGTGTCCAATTTATTTTTTCAGAAGTCACTTAAGTAATAGTTAACTGGGTACTGATCATGGAAAATATGCAGGGAGAAACTCTAAATTGAACACTTTTATCTTCCATATCTGATACACAGTTGGATTTTACACCACTAGAGAGATAAACTGCAGTGGACTGGTTGTCCTGTTACAACAGCTGCAAAAAATGAAAGGTAGACAGCATTAAGCTACATTTTACATGTGCAAAATTTCAGTTCATATGAATATTCTTTAATACTTATATATGTGAATAAATATTTCCATTACATCTGTTTTGTTTTTAAAAAGATTGTAATCACTGCAGCCTGATCTGCTTAGGTGTTCTGTCTTAAAAGAGGGCCATAACTAAAGTAACATTCAAAAACTGAAATGTTGGCCCTTGTGATTACTTAGAAAGTTCCCATACAAGGAAGCAAGTAACTGAATTGCTATTGAAAGTCCATGATTCAGACTAATCATGTTAACTCTTTCTGGAGTTAATTCTGATTTTTGGAAAAGAATGTAAGTACTATCAGACCTCACTATATTGATTTGAAGGTTTTTGCTATTTCCTGGTATTTTGTGGTGCCCTACACAAGTTGAACCCAAATCCAGGTTAGTACTTGTTTTGCTCATGAATCATCTTGCTGCAAGGATATGTTAAATGTTAAGATCGGGTTAATGAAGTGGCTTTATTTTCTTCAGGGATTTTGCAGATACCTTGAAAAAAATTTCAGTGACCTGAAAGAGAGAGGAGTTGTGATTGGTTTTGATGCTCGTGCCCATCCTCCAAGTGGAGGCAGTAGCAAAAGGTACTCTTCAGGTATTGCATATTTTGTAGCATAATTACATAAATCAACAGTTTTAAAAGCTGCTTCAACTGGCTTTTACATTATTTTTATATTCTGTCAATGTCAATGTAATACTTAATTGTACTTGTCTCTTGGGAATAGAGAGGGAACGTGGTTTGGCGTTACATGGATACATTGGATCCATATAATAATTTCTACTGCTTTTTTTTCCTCTTCCCTTAGAGTGAGGGACAGATAAACTGTAAACTCTAGTTAGTGAGAAAATGAATAAATGAATATATTTCAAGGAATATTTTCTTGTTGTTTAGGTTTGCAAGACTTGCTGCTAATACTTTCATCAATCAGGGAGTTCCCGTTTACCTGTTCTCTGACATAACACCAACTCCTTTTGTGGTAGGTTTCTCTATTATATCTTTTCTATATACACATAAATGCTGTCACATAGAAAAGAAATACTTCTACTAAGGAAAGCTCAGTAAACTTCTTCTGATGTTTAAAACACTTTTGATGTTTAAACATAAAAAAACTCTTTAAGTTTTATGTTTATTTAGCTATATTTATCTTACAACATCTACTACATTAAAAGGGAAGATCCTGTTAAGTTGTCTGTGACATGGGGCATGTTCCCATGCCTCATTCATGCTTTCAGACTTAGTTCTTTTATATAGCATTTCATAGTTTCCTGGGTGTTGTGAAGGATTAACAGGAACATTTTGGGCACTTCCTGGAGCCTGTATATTAACCTGTTTATTTTACTTGTGCCCCAGTAGCCTCTTTTCTTATGCCTTGAACTCAACTTAGTCCTTGATACTCTATCCTGTAAAAATCCAGTGTGCATTTCATCCCCAATTTTAGATCAGTTTTAGTTATAACATACTTTGAACTGAAATGGTCATGCAGAAGATACTCAAGTATGAAAATGAGCAAGTCTGAAACAGTTATCTTTTTGTTCTTGTGCTTTTTATTTTTGAGGGGGCGGGAAAGGGGAGAGAAGCCTTCATCTAAAGTAGTCTTCTCAAAAAAACAGGTTGCTAAAGTGCAGTGGCAGTTTTGCTGATACAGAATGTGTTTGTATTTCCACCATCATATCACTAGATGTCAGTGGAGCAATAAAAAAAATTACTCAAAGCAGCAGTTTGTCCCCTGCAATTCCAGTGACTGCTGTAAACATGTGACTAAGTAGGATGGAAAGCATCCCACTACTGATAGAAATTTTGGATCGAAGACTTCATAGGGCAGCTCAAAACAGTGTTGCAAGAGGTCAAGTTGATTGTCTTCACTTTAATAGCCAGGGCAGAACTAGAACTGGACCGCTGGTCACCAGTAATATTTAGTTTTTAACTTGGTGGTTCAGAACAGAATATGCTCCAGGGGCTGCTCTTAAAACACAGTAGGATGATGTTGCTCTAGTTCTAATTCTGTCTGCCCTATGAAAACTTCTCTCAGTTCCTTTAACAAGGACATTTTCAATTTTGTTCTGTAAAAAAGTACCAATGGTCCACAAAGCACCTGAAATGACACTAAGAGTATTTAAGATAGAAGAACACACAGAAAATAACAACTGTGTGTGTGCCACATGGGTGCCTCTTGCTGAGGTAAGTGCTGTTCAGCTTCTGCTTTAGGGAGTCAGTCTGTAGGACTCATTTATTAGTAATAAATATCCTCTCTTTTATTTAGTAGTATGTAAGTATTGCATGTCGATGAAAATAAGGCTTCTTATCATATTTCACACAATTCAGATAACTAACTTTCATTACAGCCCTATACAGTAACTCATCTGAAGCTTTGTGCTGGAATTATGGTTACTGCTTCCCACAACCCGAAGCAAGATAACGGTTACAAGGTATTTTTTAAATATTTTCAATTTCTATTTATTTATTTTTTCCTGTAAAGACATTATCACAGACTGGTGTATTTAGTTCCAAACATATTACCAAACAGAAGACTTGTTTGTTTATTCTTGAGATGTCTTTTTAGATATATATTTAAGTATGGTAGCATGTTATATTGCTAATAACATTGATTAATATCTTAGATCCAAAAAGGAGAAAGATAGAGCATGTTTTGGAACACTTAGCATATTTACTGATCTATTTTATGTATTACTAGATGTATTTTTAAAAAGATCCCTTTACAGATTGTTTATTTTTAAAAGATCTCTTTACAGTTGCAAACATAAAATTAAAAAATATGTGGAACCTAATGATCTGCTTGTACAAAGCACTTTGAATAAATTCTGTTCATTTCATGAAATCTCAATTCCTTTTTCTAAATGATGCTATTGATCAGTGTGACTTTTTTTCCTATGGTGCAAGAAACAAATGACCCAGAAAGCCACAGTCTGGGGTGGAGCTTGAGGTTTTTTATTCTGGTCTTTGTTTGTTTGTTTGTTTTTAATGAAGGCCAATGAGCTGCCAGTTGCCAATCAATATAGCTGGGCTGTTCACATTGACACTGTTGCCAAAATGCAGAAATGGAGGTTAAGAGGTTTCTGTTGATGGATAAGCAAAGTATTTGTGGAGATAGTATTTGTTCTCTGTACCTTGAGAATTTTTTGTCTTTTTAAATTGCCTTTTTTTTTTATGTTTTCATATTTTGATTTTGATAGCTTTTCCATGTGTTTGGATGCTTTGAAAATTATTCTTCAATAAACAAATAATAACAATAAACAAAATCAAGTTTTTACTTAATGATCTGTTATTTGGGCTACATGCTGTTTGGTTCTATAATAAACACATTAAAACTTAGTGAAATTTTTGCTTGCTGTGGTGGCAACATTGCTGCTTTTATACAACTGCAAGCTCCTTGTGTTTCTCCTTAAGGATTTTTTTTGTGGTGAAAGTGTTTGATTCTTACTTTAGTTTTTTAAGAGTTTTTTTTTTAGCTTGTATACTTTTGCTAAACATCTATAGAAGCATTTATAATATATCATAGGTAAAATCATTTCTAAGTCTAGCAGGAAAACTGCAGACTGCTACTTGTCTTCTCAGTAAAGACTAATTTCAAGACTAAATTCTTGATTTTCAAGACTAAATTCTTTCAAAAAATGAAAAAATCAAAAATTTTCAAAAATTTTCAAGACTAAAGTTTTGGTTAGTTTTTCATTATGAACCTCAATTAGAGGTGCAAGAAGAAACACTGATTGCTAACATAGGAATACTGTGGGTGTATTTTAGCTGGATGTGTCAGCTAATCTGGTATTCACCACCAGATTTAATACATCTTGGTCAACAAGAAAATAACAAAGCTATTTGTATAATACTGATGACCAAAATAATCTCTTATCTTCCTATCCTAAACCACTTAGGTGTACTGGGAAAATGGTGCTCAGATCATTTCCCCTCACGACAAAGGAATTTCTGAGGCCATAGAGGAGAATCAAGAGCCATGGCCTCAAGCTTGGGATGACAAACTTGTTGACAGCAGCCAGCTGCTTCATGATCCGTATGCCACCATCAGTAAGGACTATTTCAAAGACATACAGAAACATTGCTTTCACAGGTAACTGCTGCTAATGGGGGTAAGAATAAGGGGTTTCCATTTAGTTCTAGATATGTCAGCATGGTGGCTTAAATTAATGGAAGCCAGGCCAACCATGTTCCTGACATATTTTCCGTTTCTGCCTGTGCTCTATTGTCACCTTTTGTGGTAGTACCAGCAGTCAGGAGAACTGTAGTAAGTTGGTTGATAAAGTTATTCCAGGAGAAATACAACCCAACAAATCTGCTTTTTTAGTATGATCTCCCTGTATTAGCATGCCCCTGCATCAAAGAGGCTCCCAGTCTTGCCATGGCAAATCTTGTGCAGCTGAGGGTGAGCTGTGAATGTGACTTTCACGAATTAAAATTGTATAATCTTAGCTTTAAAATGAGCTTTAAAATGATAAGGTGAGCCAGGCTATTCAGCTGATTGTGAAAAGAGGAGCCCTTGCTGTGTCATTGCGGTTTTGGGTGTGTTCCTCTTATCCTTGCACAAGCTGATTTCTGTTATTTATTTAGCAAAATCTTACTCAACAAGTTAGAATGGATGTTTCTCTTCATGAGCTGTGTGTGTTTGCAGACTATGGATTAGATGAGGAGCAACTTGTTGGATCTGCTCATTTAAACCAAAATTGTAATCACTAGTAACCATGTTCTTGCTGTTTGGCTAAAAGCTTTGAAATCAGTTGTTACTAGAAGACTAGGCTTATGAGAGAAATGATGCTGCTTTCTCACGATATGAGGAGTCTGAATGACTTTGTGTCTCTGTTTTTTACATTTTTTTCTAGTAATGTATCTCACAAAAATGAAGGTATTTCAAGCTTGGTGTTGTACATTCACCGTATTCTGTCTTTGGAATTAGTGTAAATGCCAAAGTAGGGGATGAAGAGTCTCACTAGTCCATTTGTTCTCCACTGGCCACCTTTGGAGTCTCTTGAATGGAGTCCATAGAAATTTATCTTATCTAACATCCTGGCACGTGTAAACCACTTGAATATATAGAGTGATTTATAGAGCTGAGAGAGGAGGCTAAAACATTTTTTAAGCCACGAGTTTTAAAAAAAAAAAAAAAAAGTCTTCTATATTTTCATAATTTTAACAGTACTGTCAAATTCTGAAAGAGTGAAATAGTATATAGAATATTCTGCAACATTAAGCGTCCTATTAATCTGCTTGATTTCAGGGATATAAACAAGGAAACAAAGCTGAAATTTGTTCATACTTCCGTGCATGGTGTAGGTCATAAATTTGTGCAATTGGCCTTCAAGGCATTTGACCTTAGCCCTCCCTTTGCTGTTCCGGAGCAGAAGGATCCTGATCCAGAATTTCCCACAGTGAAGTATCCAAATCCTGAAGAAGGCAAAGGTGTTCTGGTAAGTAAATAAATATTTTTATAGTTATAATTTCTGTCAAAGTATTTCCATTCTGATAACAATCATGGCTGTAAATATAGAACAGAACTGTATTTCATTTCTCTTTTAATATCCTTGTCAAAGAGTTAGCTGGTGTTCTTTCATTCAAATGTATAACTCTTTATGAAACAGTTAGGTAATAATTAGCTGTAATTTAAAACTGTACTTTGTTCTGCTCTGTAATGGAACGTGCAGCATTGATTCATACAATGAAGTGAGCTTAGACTATTTTGGGGAAGGAGGTCTTTGTTTTTAAGATGCATCTTCATAGAAATTTTCAAAATGTTTTAACAAATTACATCTAAGATATGAGGACTAAATTGTTTTAAAACAGGCAGAGGCAGGCAGAGCCTTACCAGGTACAAGCACTTGTTTTTGAAGCATCCTGTTATCATCTAATTAGCTTTTAAGTCAGGCTGCAAAAATAGAATGATGTAGGTAAAATTAAATATCTTCTGTTTGTACATTCTACTGTCAGGTTTATATCCTATGAATTGCTTAAATGTAAATGAAGTTATATTATGAGAGAGCCATAATGATTTTGTGTGGTCAAGATAAAATAGAAGAAATTATTTGAAGTCTAGCTGCATTAATGCTCTTCTGGTATTGCTTGTCACGTTTCCAGACATTATCGTTTGCTTTGGCTGAGAAAGATGGGGCAAAAATCATTTTAGCAAATGATCCCGATGCTGATCGACTTGCAGTGGCAGAGAAACAAGAAAGGTATGAAAAGAGCAAAATAAAACCCATAAATATTGGACTTAAAAGCCAGACTAATTTGGGGAATTTTTGTTACCAGTGTTGCATAGGAAGATAAACAATCATAGTAGTTCTTTTTTGGATTAAAAGTATGTAGACACGTGAAAGGATGACATAAAGTACACAGTGGGAGACAGTAAGTTAAAAAGGAATTAATTTTAGACAATGCACGGAAGCCAGAATAAATATTTGACATTTACTGAACTTGAGGTATGCACAGAAGCATGTGAATTATTCTGATTCTGTTATACCTTCTAAAGATAGATTTTGTTTTTTCCAAACAGAACTTTTCCACAGACAGAAAAACATTTTTGATACTGTGTTTCTGCAGAGCCTTTATAGCTTCATGTTGACTTCAGGATAAGTGGAAATCACTATTAATATGAACCCTTTATTTCTCATACCATTAGAGACTAAATCTTGTACTTGATTATTAGATTAGATGAGGCATTAGCTGATGTGGGCCTCTCTTACACATTGTTTTGTGAAGAGAAGGTACCTGCAATTCACCTTAAATTCTGTCAGTGTTCCATATTTCTTGGTATAGACATTTGTTCTCTGCTTTGCAGTAAAAGGTGCACAACTGATGCCTTGAACTGTGTGTATCCTATTAAAGAATGGGATAGTAACAGGTAAACCTTCCTGACAGCAACTTCTTAGGCTTGTCAGACGCTTAGATGTGTGACTTATAGGTTTGGCTTAATATTGTTATGCCCTTACTGCATACTGCTTAATATCATTCGCCTCTACAAAGCATTTGTATTTCTGAATAGTGTAATATTTGACTGAAAATAAGCTGCACTGGATGCCATTATGTGCAGATATGGTGCTTCCCTTCCACCTAGCTGAAAAAGGCAGATGGTAAACTGAAGTCCTGGCCCACAGTTACAGTCTTTAACAAAAGTAAACTTGAGGCCCTCAAGTGAACAGAGCAGAATGGACAGAGCAGACTTGCTGCTGAGTCAGGAGCAGAAATCGTGTAAATGAATCGTTTGCTTTGAGAGCAGGCAGAGGTACAAAATCCTGGCAACACCCCTAGGTACCTGTGCCATGAGGTGGGCACTTGCCAGATGTCCTCAGTGATTGCTCATGAGACAAATAATTTGTTTGTAAATCAGCTGGACAGATTCTAACACTCCAGTGAAAATGGAAAGCATGTGCCTCTCCACACCGAACAGCTGCTTTGGTCCTGTAGGAGCTTCAGAGAGTGGGGCTGGAGGGTTGACTCTATATTCACATTATCTGAACCAAAGAGGCTTTCTTGCTTGTAGAAGAAGAATGGTCTAATTGGAATCCCCTCTGCTCTACCTTTGAAGACTAACAGTATTAGCCAAAATATCTTGGTTTGAGTATTTTGGCACATGCCAGTCTAAGCCACAGTTACTTTAGCAAGACCTCGGATGACTTTAATCAAGATCAGAATGAAGTGTCTGCTAGCACAGCGACAACTGGAAAAGCCTAAGAATATAAGTGGTCCTATTAATTAGAAATATGATGTTAGCCACTCAGAAAAATGTTGCATTTGGCAAAAGAAAATGGGCATGGAGGCAAAGTGGTCTTCTCATTCTCCTACCTAATTGTTTAGCCAGCCTTAATTCTGCCCTAACTTTAGGTTTTGCTCCTCCTGCCTAACTTGGCTGAAGCTACTTGTACACTAATCAGAGTATTAATATAGGCTTCTACAGTATCTATACTTCTTCTTTGACAGAACCTCCTGCTAGAGCACAGTCTCTCAGCTAAATTGTTGCTGTACATTACTTTGTGCCTCTTGGCATCAATAAAGTGCAGGACACTGAGTCTGCTTCTCTTTCACTCCAGGTACTGTTTCTGTAGGTCTTGGGTTTTGTCAGTTTAGTTGTGTCTTTGCTCCCTTTCACAACTGCGTTTTTGGGCAATATTCACATCTGTCTCTCTGTCTTTTTTTTTTTTTCCCTATGTTTCCCTTGGTCTATGAACAGATTGGAACTTAAAGTCATTTTTTATATTTCTTTCTGACATGTTCCCCATCTTCTTCATTTAAAGACCTATATGTCAATGGGTCATTGAAAGTATTTGGCACTCAGCCAAGTAAAAAAAACATCATTGAGAATTGTTTCACTGTTTATGTCAGTGTTATCATATGTCAATGTTTGTCTTAAATGTTTGTTTTATAATTTGTAGCTGCCATGTTTTCTTTCTTTTTTTATTTGTTTTTTAATATGTTGGAAATACCTTTTTAGATAAACTCATAAGTTGGTAACTATGATAGAGGAGGAAGGTAACCACTTAAAATTCTTTGGATAAGGAGATTCTTTGTTCATATAAAAAAAACCATAATAACTCATTACTTTTGTTTGTAATTCAGATACAGTGGCTACAGTGGTTAGTTTTCTTGTATGAAAGAATCTTGAATCATTTTTTTGTCAGTACCCTATAGTTTAAATTTTGAAATGTACTTTGAATAAAATATACTATATTTTGATACTATGCTTTGAAAAACAAGTAAAATATTTGAAAAAATACTGTTTGAACAAGTATTTGAAAATATACTTTCAGAAATATATATGAAAAATACAGAAATACATATATATGGTGGTTTTTTTTTTTTTTTTTTTTTTTCCTCCTAGTGGTGAATGGAAAGTGTTTTCTGGAAATGAGCTGGGAGCTCTTTTAGGCTGGTGGATCTTCACTTGTTGGAAAAACCAAAATCAGGACACTTGTGCCATTAAAGATATTTACATGTTGTCCAGTACCGTTTCTTCCAAAATCCTGAGAGCAATTGCACTGAAGGAGGGTTTCCACTTTGAGGTAAACTCTCGCCTGTTACTCTGTGTTCATTTCTTGGCTTCTCTCTACCATTTAGTGTTTCTAAATACTTGTTCCCTATCCCCTTTTCTTTCTCCTCTCACACACGGCTTTAGGAAACCCTGACAGGTTTTAAGTGGATGGGGAACCGTGCGAAGCAGCTTATGGATCAGGGGAAAGCTGTTCTGTTTGCGTTTGAAGAGGCTATAGGTAAGATGAAATATTACCTAAGTTCTGATAACCTGTAAAATAATGGAAATAGGACAACTGCAAAAAGGGTCCCTTCACCACAGCAGACGCATTTCAAATTCATGTAATATATTGGGCTGATTGATGTTGCTAGCTTTCTTTAGGAGTCTGAATTTGTTCAGCACTAGATATTGTGATATGAGCTTAGCATGTCTGTTTTCAACAGCATTGCTTAGCAGGCAGGCTATAGATTGTGCACACACTGGGTTGTTGGTTTGCTTGCTTTGTTCACAAGAAAATAGTACTTTCAGATTTTGGATTGAGTATGTGAAACTGACACTTTAAGCTTAAAAGTGAATTAAAAAGAGAACTTTGTGTTTTTCTGCCTTTCATGGTAATTCCAAAAGTACTCAGAAGTATCTGTGTCCCAAAGATGACATAAATCTATGTCATCTATAAATCTATGCTGTATATCATGCATATATGTATATATGCTATAAATCTGTGCTGTAAAACTATTGAATATGTTGTTTCTTAAAGTATTGAAATTAACAATATTCATCAGAAGATAATACTTCTCTGAATCCCAGTCTTTATTGAAAATATTTTTTGGTTTAATTCTAAAATGTTTTTAGCCTGAAAACCTGTATTTCCCCTTGTGGAGCTGTTAGCCTGGTTAACTTTTTTTCTGCTGTGTATTGTCTAGTTTCCTCATACAAATTTCTACTCGCATAATTTTGTTTCTTCAGGGTATATGTGCTGCCCTGCTGTTCTGGACAAAGACGGCGTCAGTGCTGCAGTTATAGCTGCAGAGATGGCCAGCTTTTTGGCAACCAAGAACTTGTCTTTGACCCAGCAGCTGAAAGCAGTCTATGATGAGTGAGTTTGATTATACTTGTCCAATGTTACATTTTCTTCATTCCATAATACTGCGGTTAATAAGACTCAGTCACAACCCGTAGTATATGAAGAAATTAAGTACAGAAGTATGTTAACAGGAATATTCTAGAAAGCTGTGCTGTCTCATGGGTATGAATATATTGAGTTGATTCTGTCTAATTTTAAGGTATTTTTACCCTGCACACATCCCCTCTCAAAAAAAAAAAAAAAAAGGTTACTGGCATTTTTTTGTTTCTTTGGAGAGTGTTTTTCTCTTCCTGAGAAGTTGTGCTCTAGACCTCAGCTCTGTCTGCAGAGCAGGTTGTTATTTTGGCCAGCAACCCCTGCCTGAACTCTAGTCGTCAGAGTGCCTCTTGCTGCCCAACCATATGGGACATGCAGAACCACGGGGCATCGTGGCCCCGGGTACATGGCAAGTTTATTGTACCCATAAAAGGAAGCTTGCTTCTGTCCTGCATGTCGGGCTCCTTCTCATCAGAGACTGCTAATATTATGTTAATGACAGGCTTTTTATTGTAGTATTCTGTTTAGATAGATAGATAGATAGATAGATAGATAGATAGATAGATAGATAGGGATAAATGAATATTGGCTGCTTTCTGTTTCTTTTCTGAATATCAAGAGCAGAACTGCTGTGACTGGGCATAACTTTTGGCTGCTTACAGCTGAGTGTTCTTATGAGTACTTAATATGAGGCACTACTGTTGTTTTTCTTTTCCCTGTTGTCTGGGAGATGTTTAATATCTTCACAGAGATGAAGAAGGATTTCATGCTGGGGAGGAAGACGAGGTTGGTGGGGGTTTTGTTTCTTTGGAGGGAGCAAGTGGCTCCTTCACGATCCTATATAAAGTAGAGCAATTAAAGTGCTGAGGCCCTTTAAAACATAAGGGACAAAATTATGCTGCAGTTGAGTGATCATGAGTATAGATTATTGTTCTTAAAGATGTATATTGTGTGTGGTAAACAATTCTAATAAGAAGCTTTTTTCATTAACTCATTATTATTGTGTCTTGGCAGGTATGGCTTCCACATTACCAAAGCTTCGTATTTCATCTGCCATGATCCTAAAATTATTGAACAGCTTTTTGAGAACCTTAGAAACTATGAGGGAAAAAATACTTACCCAAAATTCTGTGGCAGATTTAAGGTTTCTGGAATAAGAGATCTAACTACTGGATATGACAGCAGCCAGCCAGATCAAAAGGCTGTAAGTAGTTTTTTTTTTTATTATTTTTAATGTATGCAGTCATAATATATGTATATGCACCTATCTATAAAATACAGAACAACACTGTAAAACCTATCACATCCAAAGCAGTATCTTAAAATGAGTCCAGTTTGGGGTGCTAGTTTTGTCTTGGTGGGGGAATTGAGGTTGATTTGTTCAAGATGGCAGCATTGAAAGGTTGGTAAGGACGATTGTGCCATTGACAGCCATTTCCACAGATTTTCTTTCTTGGTTTGACCAGACCAAGTCTGTCTTGCATTATTTTGTCAGAAGGGTAAAGCTAAGCTGTCTGCTGAGATGTGGCTTCGATTTTTTTAGTCTTCCAGGATCTGTATTTCTTTATCTTCTTGAGGAAGCCTCTCAGAGATTTTTGTGTTTGCAGTCAGGATGTTGACTAGACCTGAGCTTTCTAGTAGTAAGGAACAGCCAGATCCCAGTGTGAGGGTAAGACTGTCATTTGTTTTATTGTGCTCCGAAGACCACAATGATGAAGAAATGAGAACAAAACTTACTTTTAACCGATGTATCAGTTATGCAGTGTCACGTCATGGATTGCATCTCAGATCATTACACATGATCTCATTTTCCAACTCCTAAAAATGATTCCTTCTGTTTCTAGATACTTCCTACTAGTAAAAGTAGCCAAATGATAACGTTTACTTTTGCTAATGGAGGAGTGGCCACTATGAGGACCAGTGGGACAGAACCAAAAATCAAATACTATTCTGAACTTTGTGCACCGCCTGGAAACAGGTATTGTCACTTGTAGGATTAAGTTTGGGCTAGTAGTGGTTGTGATGTGGGTTGTTTTTTTTTTTCTTATATTACTTCCATGGGGAAGAGAGCTGTCTGTCATCAAATAATACTAATATAACTTTTATTCTTTTGCGAATGAATAAGTATCAAGTTTTAATTCTGCAAAATTTATGGAATCATCCCTACTGTCACTTAAATGTGTCTAAAATTGGTTTTACCTTCAGTGAGAACAGAACGTTGTTCTATATAGTGCCTTGAATGAAAGAGAGAATTTTCCCTGTATTTCATATGTGTGTGTGTGTATAAAAATATGTAATTGCTTCGAACTGAATGGAAAACTTTACATATAGTTCTATATACTATATACCCTTGCTACATTTAGTTATAATATCATTGATTGATAGCTTTGGAAATCTAAATGATTGTCTGGAATGTCTGGAAGATGAGCAATTATTTATTGCTGTCATGGTTATAATGCTTTCTTATTGATGAAAATTCATCTGAAAACACATTACAAATAGAAGTTACTAATTTATTATCTTGACAATTTATTCAGTAGAGCTGCTGAACTCAAACAGGCTTTCATATATTGCAGGTTATATTCTGGAGGTGTGTTTGTCCGTGGTTTTAACTGCCTCCATTCACATCAGTTGCGTAGTAAAACATCAGTGCGGAGGTTTTTAGAAACCATCAGGAGATTTTAAGAAATTAAGTGCATTGCTTTTGGCATTAAGAGAAAATGTTTGCCTAAAATTAGATGTTGGATTTAGAACTGCCCCTATATTGAAAATGTACAATTTTAGCTTCTCCATTGTGACACTTTTTTGTATTTGTGTGGATTTTGTTTCTTAGTGACGCTGAGCAGCTGAAGAAGGAATTAGATGAATTGGTCAACGCTCTTGAAAAACATTTCTTTCAGCCAGAAAAAAACAATCTTCAACGAAAGACAGAGTGAACTAACCAAGCGGCTAGCTTCACTGCATTTGTTTTGCAGCATTAGAAGTGCATTATTTAAGTTGTAAGGATTTTCAGGACCAAACATCTGAGAATTTAGACTAAAGAGCACTTAACATATACTCTTCTGCTTACTCTGGAGTCCAGTACCTTATTCTGGAATAGAAGTACCTTTATCCTCAAAGGAGCAAAAGAAAGTAAATGAAAAAAAAAAGAATAAAAAATAATCAATCTATGAACTAAAAATTGTCTGCAAATAAATTTTGGTCAAAACTTGTTCTAATTCAATACTGTAAGCAATATCCTGTTTTCTGAAATGCAGCCTGATGCTTTTTTTTTCTTTGTGTGCGTGTGTTGTGTGCTTGTGTAATCTGAGAAGATTGTGATTTCTTTTTCTAAGTTAAGATTGTTTTCAAGGCAAGAGCTTCTGTTAACAGGGAGCTCTGGAAGCCTATGGTGAAACTTTACCAAACTTGCCAAACTTGAGATAAATGTTTTAGACATAGTGATTGTCCTTTTTTATTATTATTATTATTATTACTTTTTTCTCCTTGGAAATTTTAGCCCAAGAAGCAAGAAATCCCCCATGAATTCGTGGGACAGCTTCTGTTTGTCATCTTCACTGAATAGTGGATGTGTTTTTTGCTGTTGGACATAACTCAAGTATTTCAGATTTTTCCTTGTGCATGCTAAGTATGCAAAAACAAAGTATATTCCACATGTTACTAAATCTGAACCTATTCTTGAAAGTAAAAGAGCACTTAAAACTTCAGACCCGAACTCAACGTGTTCGAGTCTGCTTCACCTGAGCTTGAGGCAGAGCCGTCTAGTCATTTTCTTCTACTTGCTTTGTTAATGAAATGCAAAGGCAGCATTAGTTGTCTGCAAAATGATTTTGGTTTTAGTCCTCTTATTTGTTCTTGGGAGTATGCTTGGAAGATTCCAGTCCAGCACAAGGCTCATCATCTAGAACTGAAATTAGGAGGAATTTCATAGCCGTCCATAAGAAAGGGGCATGAGAGAAAGGATATATCTTGTTAAGGAACTAAAACAATACAACTAAGTGTTTTTCTCTGCAATTGATGTCGTCCGAACCCGAGTTTCTTAGCAAAAGTGCTCTTTCATTTCCTTTGCTTTCTTAGCACTTGTGATGCTGGGTGTCCAGTTGCCTGAGATCTACAGTGACAGCTGTGAGATACAAGGCTGAGATCATAGTAGGAAATGGAGCAGACATTGTAGAAAATGCGTGAGCTCTCTACAGTTTCTGTATGAAGGTTCTCCTGGGCTTCAGCACCTAACGTGTCTCGTGCCCTAACCACAGACTAGCCTTGCACAACGGAGCTTCCTGAAGCCTGTTGCAGCCCGGGCTCCCGGCTCCGTGATGGCCGCGGCTGTGCCCAGCGCTGCCCTGACACATCCCCGCGCTCAGGCTGGGGCATCCAGCCCCTGCAGGACCAGCCTGGGCCCAGCGTCTCTCAGCTCTCTGTAAGATGTGGGCTCTGCTGAGCTGATCTGTCACTTAGGGGTCATCTACACGGCAAGGCTATAGTTTCCAACCTTAATTGCTATTCTGTGCCCTCCTGTGCTGCCTGGAAAACTTGTAGGGATTTCATCTGCCATAGAAGCAGGCACTTCCCTGTAGTGTGGGGATACTTGGGATGGATGGTGGCCGCGAGGCTGGTTCTGCTGCCGGACAAATATTTGTGTGTATGTTGCAGTAGGTAGCTACTTGTTCTGAGTCTTCATAAAGAAGACCACTTTTAGTTGTGGTAGTCAGTGGCACAGAGTCCAGTTGGAGACCTGTAGTTAGCGTGTCCCCCGGGTGTCCCCCGGGGGTCGGTCGTTGGTCCGGTCCTGTTCCACTTATTCATTAATGACCTGGATGAAGGGCGGGAGTGCTCCCTCAGCAAGTTTGCGGATGATACCAAACTGGGTGGAGTAGCTGATAGCCCTGAGGGCTGTGCTGCCATCCAGAGGGACCTGGACAGACTGGAGGACTGGGCAGTGAGAAACCTCATGAGGTTCAACAGGGGCAAGTGCAGGGTCCTGCACTTGGGGAGGAATAACCCCGGACACCAGTACAGATTAGGGGTGGACCTGCTGGAGAGCAGCCCCACAGAGAGGGACCTGGGTGTCATGGTGGATGACAAGTTGACGATGAGGCAGCAGTGTGCCCTGGTGGCCAAGAAGGCCAACGGGATCCTGGGATGCACTAAGAAGAGCGTCTCCAGCAGGTCGAGGGAGGGGATCGTACCCTTCTACTCAGCCCTGGTGAGGCCACATCTGGAGTACTGCGTCCAGTTCTGGGCTCCCCAGTACAAGAGGGATGTGGAGCTGCTGGAGAGAGTCCAGCGCAGGGCTACCAGGATGATCAGGGGCCTGGAACATCTGCCCTATGAGCAAAGGCTGAGGGAGCTGGGCCTGTTCAGCCTGGAGAAGAGAAGGCTGAGGGGGGACCTGATCAGTGTGTGTAAATACCTCAAAGGAGGCAGTGAGGAGGAGGAGGCGACCTCTTTTCAGTGGTGGCCAGTGATAGGATTAGAGGAAATGGGTACAAACTGAAGCATTGGAAGTTCCACAGGAACTTAAGGAAACAGTTTTTGACAGGAGGCTGAGAGCGCCTTGGAACAGGCTGCCCAGAGAGGTTGTGGAGTCTCCTTCTTTGGAGATCTTTAAAACCTGCTTGGACGCAGCCCTGTGCCACGTGCTCTGGGTGACCCTGCGTGAGCAGGGAGTTGAACTAGATGACCTCTGAGGTCCCTTCCAACCTTAAGCATTCTATGATTCTATATTATAGAGGGGGAAAAAATAAATCAAAAAGTGTTTTACTGAGTTGTAGGACAAGCCTCAGCATGCCAATCTGATACCATTTCCTAGGGATGTGCTAACTTTGTCTTGCATCAGAGAAAGGGGATCTAGAATTAAAATGAAGAACTGAAATGCAAGCACTAAAAGTTTACCAAAAAGAGGGGGTTGCACACAGAGCCAGAGCTCTTCTGCAGCTTCCTCCGTCGAAATGTTAAGTAAGAGAACAAAGCCAAATTTAGATAATACAGTGATGATTAGTTTCAGGACAGACATAAAAACAGACAAATGCAATTTATGAGTAACCAAGCTTGTGCTCGGAGCAGAGGCACATAGTTTTTTTTCCAGAAATGGTGACTGCCAAGGCTGTAATAAGGAATGTTTGCAGTCTGGACTGGACTCAAATCTAAGGATATTCCTGGCTGCTCTTAGAGAAAACTGCATCCCTAAGTTACCAAAACCCATGTAAAATGAGTCTAGATTTTACAGCTTGTGATTCCAGTGGAAGACAATGGGAATTGAAAACACCAGATTGCCCCAGGAAATCATACCTGCAGGGGAATGAGCAAAATGCTTTTAGATTGAGGAAAAATCAGTGTAGCATTAAAACTCTCCCATAAAAATGAAAGCATTGCAATGTGTTAAGACTAAACTAATGGACAGCATTTTAAGGTTATTAGTTTGTTTATTAATCATGAGTAAAATCTACTTCTAGATCATAGTTGTTTCAAGGAATGTTATCAAACAGTTTGGCTGGAAGAAAGTAAATATATTTCACCTTTCTTATAGTATAAATAGTCTACAAGTATGTGTTCACTAACAAAGTTGTTCCCTGCCCCTTAGTTTGCCCATAAGTATAGAAGTGGAAGGTAGTCTTTGGTAAAATAAACTCAATTGCTTTTTGCGCTTTCCTTTGGAGTTTATTTGCATTATAAACATGCACAGGTTCATATTTCTGCTGAACTTCCAAATAGAAGCAAACATTTTTACTTTCGCAGTGATTGCCACATAACTGAAATTAGGTCAGGCACAATCCAAACTGTGCCTAATGGGATGAGCCTATTAGACTGTCCAATCACATCCTAACATCCGTCTAAATAAAAAGTAATATAAATGATGGCATAGCAACAGCAGCTTCCAAACAAGAGCAAAAGCTTAAAATACATGATCTCTAGTATGTCATTTTCAAATGTATTTACGGGAGTGAAGGGGAGAGAGGAGTGATCGTGAGATGTGGAATGTGCAAAAAGGCAGAGGCACCTGGGCTGGTTGGAAGCAGGAGCTCGGCTCCTTCCTGACCCTGTAGCCCTGCTCAGTGATAACCAAGGGCCTCTTGCCTATGAAAATCATCACTAACTACTGTTGCTCTCATGAATTCTTCCTGAATATGAACTAGGCCAACACAGGCCACGATAACAGCGTCGGTTGAGTTTTGTTTATGGAATGCCTGGAACTATATATAAATAGCATGTGGGGATGCAGTGTCATTGGCCAAGAATGTAGCACTTTACCCAGAGCTCGTTTAAGTCAAAGGACTTAAAACGTTTTGCATCACGCTTGTAGAGGTTTATGCAAAACAAATTGCAAATAAACATTCACACTGTTTTATTTGAGTGGTAATAATCGATCATCATGAGCAGTCTAGGGGTAATGTGTAGAGGTAGGTGCAGCGTAGGTGAAATAAACCTGGTGGTGTTGTGGTGATAGGTTCTAGTCCTAGATATCCCTTCATCTCTTCACTTTAAACCCATGTTTCTGGAAAGAGAGAAGAATAGGGATTTACTGTTCCAGAAAATTGAACAGAATTAATAAGTCTTTTGTTCAGAACTTTTACCAAAATGCAGATACAGGCATTCTGCTTCTGTGTGTTACATAGACACTTCTTAAGGACTGTACCGTACTACTCCCTCATTGTTTTCTTCCTGTTTTCACACATGAAACTTGGACTACTATTATTTTTTCCTACATAAGCAACCTATTAGAAGGAAATATGGAGAAGGAACACAGTCTGATGTACTCTCAAGGCTGATGATTGGGGAACTGGGAGGCAGGTTGAACACGCTGCAGTCGAGTAGAAAGCAAACTGTTTTTTCTGCATCCTGGATAAATAAATGCATCCCACATAAACAAGAGTGAGCTTTTTTTCTTTAAATATAGGGTGCAAGTACCTCCCTTCAGGAAAGAAGTGTGGAACAATGACTCATGAGGATAGAGGAGCACATCCTTCAACCCCAGAACCACTGCTGATCGCCCAAAGAGGCATCAGAAGCTGTCAGCAGCTTTTGCCTCTTTTAACCCCCTCAAAGGCCCCCTCTTGCTATCTTTACCACGCAGATAAATCACATTGCAAACTTGAGAAAATAGAAATGACAAAACATAAATGCTAAAAC